ACCCGCTTATGCAAATGAAGCCCGGGCTTCATTTGCAAGTGCGGTATGCCTACATTACCCCGCTAGTTCGAACTAGCGGGGTAGTGTAGACATACCCTTATAAACTGATAGGACCCTTTAATTAAATACATTATGAGGTAAGTACCTGTACTTAGTTGGATGCAAATTCTACTTTTACATATGTCAGCGGTATTAAGATTGTCTTGGTGGGAGAGGTCTACCCGGGCTTCATTTGCAAGTGCGGTATGCCTACATTACCCCGCTAGTTCGAACTAGCGGGGTAGTGTAGACATACCCTTATAAACTGATAGGACCCTTTAATTAAATACATTATGAGGTAAGTACCTGTACTTAGTTGGATGCAAATTCTACTTTTACATATGTCAGCGGTATTAAGATTGTCTTGGTGGGAGAGGTCTACTCAATCTGCTAATAATGAAAAATCTAGATAGCTAAGTGAGCATAAGTGCAGCTATGTATGACTGTTGAGGAACATTCGTGATAATATCTTCGCATTCTTGAGACTAAAACACACTTCAGTGTTAGCAAACAATGGGCACTGAGAGATGCAAAATCCAGGTTGTACAGTGATCTTATGGTCTAGATTAATCATTTTAGTAAAAGGTTTAAGGCTCTCAGAGAACTAAGGGTTTTGGTTGTATAGCTTCACATCACAGCTGAGTAATCTTCAATCTCAATTGAGATGAAACTCAAAAAAAATCAATGCTGCATTTTATTTATTATTTAAACAGGATGGCTGGAAAAAGGATATCCAGCCAGATCAAGAACTAAATTCTTAGTTCTTAGCTAAACCTTCAACACATACATATTTAAAAAATTATAATGTAAACACAAACACAAATTTTCCTTGGTGGTTGCAACCCAAACATTGTGTCACTTTTGCTAATACAGGAGAACAGGAAAATCGATGTAAGAAACAGAGAAGCTTTCTAATCCATTTCCATTGGCGAGAAATACCAAATGTAAACAAGAAGATTAAACAGTGAAAAGAAAAAGCAGCTTTTAAAAATATTTTAACAACGTGAAGTGTTCTCTGTAATGTAAAAAAAGAAATTAGACTGTTTGCCTACAAACATGATTAGCTTTGTGACACTTATGTAGCATTCTAGCTAGATAAATTCAGAAGAGGACATGTCCATTAATGGCTATTAGCCAGGATGGATAGGAGCGGTGTCCCTAGCCTCTGTTTGTCAGAAGCTGGGAATGGGTAACAGGGGATGGACCACTTGATGATTCCCTGGTTCTGTTCATTCCTTCTGGGGGTACCTGACCTTGGCCACTGTTGGAAGACAGGACACTGGGCTAGATGGACCTTTGGTCTGACCCAGTCTGGCTGTTCTTAACTTCTTATCCTTTATCCTGAGAATTGCAAAATACTTGACCCAGTCTGGCTGTTCTTACGTTCTTATCCTTTATCCTGAGGATTGCAAAATGCGTTAGAAAAGATATTCTGAAATGCAGCCACTTCTAGGACTCGGAGTGTCAATAATTCACATAAAGGGCAATGCGAAGCACATGGGAGAAAAAGCAAAGTTTGGCTAAGGACACTATGACAAACTTTGCCTTTTAGGAAGAATAGGATTTTTCTTATCTCCACACAGGATGCAGGACCTCAGTCAAAATACTCCATCAATCCTGTAGTTGTACACATTTTTTTCTGCATACAGCACATGTTCCTTCATGTACAGGAACAAGATAATTCCACAGTAATGAATGGCAAACACTGCATCTTGAGAAAACAGTCTGGGTGATTCCCATAGAATAATGTAGTATTTTTTAATGAGGAAGATCTGACTTGACCCCAATAGGACTTGAACCTGTGGCACAAGGAGGGTTATTAATTTCAATACTGAGATACAGACATTTATGTCAAGTCTCCGCTTATGTTGCAATGGTTTTGGATTCATTGTGATAAACGAAATATCTTTTCATGTTCTCAATCACTGCATCTTTTAAGAAAAAAACTGAGTCATCTATAATTCTACATATGCAGTTACAAAGGACACTCTGCACGGGGGAAGTGGTTGCCAAATTCATTGTCTGTTCAAATGCACCACATTTTCATCCAGGTGAAGAAGTGATAGACATTTAAAATTCTCATTCCAGAAGAGCTTCAGAAATGAGGTGCTTCAGGGTATGAGTCAGGAAAAAGTAAACACAAACTTTTTCCTAGCTCACGCTCTGCAGTCACATCAACGCTCTCCCAAAAAGAATATTAAAATCAGAGATAGACTTAAGCCGCAAATTTTGGACCTCGATCAGAATTTCTTCACCATTTGCTGGAAGTTTTAGGTTGGACAAAAATCTATGTAAAATCTAAAATGACTCCTGTTAATCCATTATTGTTTGCAGCGATGTTGTTGCCATGTTGATTCCAGGATATCAGAAAGATAAGGCAAGCGAAATAGTTTCTTTTCCTGGACCAACTTGGGCTGGTGAACGAGACAAGCTTTTGAGCTGTACGGCTCTGGGTAAATTGGTCTAATAAGAGATATGATCCCACCCACCTTGTCCCTCTTATTATTTCCTTCAGTTCTTCCTATCTGGTCAAGCACACAGGCCCCTGCTGTTGTGTCTCTCCTGCAGACTGCTGTGTACCATCAACTCCTTTTGGCATCAGAATGGAGATAATTTGCCACCTTGCATGATCTGACACTCAATGAAGACAATTTAAGAGGTGGGAAAGGCTTTATACACCCTACATTTGTAACTTCTGCTCTGTATTTGGCTGCAACTGATTCTCAAATGTTTCCTACCACAAAACAAATATGCACTGCAGGAAAGAGTTGAAACTTTTGCAGCCATGACTTTTCGCAAGGTTAGAGGAGGCAAGTTATTGTCCATGCTGCCAGGGTTTAGATTTGGAAAAGCCTAGTGGTATAACTCAGTCAAATACCACAAACTTTGGTTCTTGAACACACTCTGCAGAGTAAGGACCCCATGATATAGCAGCAACTTGCTTACCCCTTTGCAGATAGAAACAGCTTCTTTGGACAGCGATTTAGGATAGGAAACATTATGCTCCATTATAGACTGGAAGAGTTCATCTTCATCCTCCCCATCAAATGGAGGCTGTTCAAAGAAAATAATTGAGAAGGTAAAATGATGCAGTGTTAATTTTAATTCCCTATTAATGCTATGTATATACTGAAAAGCAGGTATATTATTGAGGAGTTTTACATTTTACAATATACTTGACAGTTCAGGCTCTCTAACGGTTTGTTTATTTTTAATTAAATCCTTTTAAAATTACCTTGTTATAGCCAATCTAAAACAATCTAATTGGTCAATGTTTTGGACCACTGGCTTTGAAAGTGTCATGTAATTCCTTTGATGCTGCCATTTGATTTCTGGCTAAATAGTGTTTCTGTGAGGGGAAGAGTGTGTCACAAGCATGGACTACATTTGTGTTTAAATAAGATGTGAGGCTGAAGAAAACCTGCACCAGATCCAAGGGGGGGGAGCTTAAATCCCACCTAAACTCTGAACTAGGGGTGGAGGAGAGTGCCGCGGGGCTTCTGCAAGTCTCTGAACCAGGGGTGGATGAGAGTGCCACGGGGCTTCTGCAAGCGTGGGGCTCGGAGCAATCGCCCTGCTCGCCCTGCCCCAAATCTGCCGCTGCTCTGAACTAAGAATTTTAGTGGGACATCAGTGTTGCCTCGGCCTTCTAATGGCCCTCTGCACAGGGATGAATAGTAGTGCCCTGCAAACCCACGGATATTCGCAGCTCATTTTTACAGCTATGGATGCCGACGTGGATACAAATTTTGTATCTAAAACGCTACAAATTTGTAGATATCTGCTTTATATCTGCTGGTATCCACATACGTGGATGTCAATGAGGATATCCGCGGCTTATTTTTGCACTTACAGAGGTGGATAAAAATTTTGTATCTGCACAGGGCTCTAATGAACATCACCCAAACACAACACTCCAAAAAAGAAAACACCACTTGGTTATAAGGTATTGTACAAAGAGCCAAGAGCAAACAGATAAAGTATCTAAAGATTGCTGAGCCTGATCTTATGTTTTTGTAGACATAGTCAAAGCACTTATAATTAAAGCAAATGCTGATGCATTTATCTGCAGACAAATCCACATCTTCCAAGAAGCCCTGGAAAAATTACTTAGCACTTACTGCAAATGCAGAAAATCCTAATAAGATAATACTCTCTAAATGACTTAAGACTTAGTAAGTACACAAGCATATCAGACTTCCTCAAGAATAAGGAAACAAGCAGCTGGGATTTCCCAACATTAATCGGACACAGCTGGATGCTACATTTCCACATTCTCCAGTTTAATTCTGAATATGGTAAGTAATATTGATGGGTATTTACATGTAGACTCAAAATTATAGATCAACCCACAGACCTCATATATAGAACATCAGATGTTTAAGTAGGTTCTCACACACTTTTTTCTGTCATAAAATACAAAGATGTGGAGGCAACAGAACAATCTGCAAGTAATTGTAGTTGACCACGGACCAGACACATGGTGATCTTTTAAAGAAATCGAAAAGAAAAGAATACAGGAACAGCAGTGTTCAGTTATTACTCAAAAAGTCAAGAAATCTACTGGGATTTAGCATGGGAAGGAATAACATAGGATGGCTAAACCCTGTAAATGTAGGAAATTCTGTGATAGCTCCAGCTCTTTTTCTCAGGGAGAGTCATTTGCATAAATCTTCCCCACATCAAGAGTTTATCTTGAGAGCTGGTTTGTTACCCTCAATTAAACTTTACAATCAGGACTTGCTTTTTCAGTTTTGTGATTTGGTGATGGGAATCCCATTAAATGGGTAGAGAAACTATTCTGTAATTAACTGTGCTTTGCCCCCAGGTACATAATTAAACAACGCCATCATGATTCGGTGATTTAACTGCCACGAAGAATATCTAAAAACTCGGCTATGATGTTTCCAGTGGCTCTCTCACAAGTGCACAATACTTCTTCCATTTATTGAGCTCTGCCTTGTAAAGTTCTTCCTGTGAGATGTTGAAGAATAACAGCGTCATAATTCTTACCTGACCAGCTAGCATCTCATATAACAGCACACCATAGGCCCACCAATCTACTGATTTTCCATAGGGCTGATAAGCAATAATCTGCGTAATAAGGAAAATAAAAGTATCGGTGTTAAAGTTCAGAGATGAATCAAATAAACAAGACAAACAATGTGTCACTGAAATACACAGAGAACCCAATTCTGTCATCCTTACTGAGGCCAAAACCCACTCAGATTTATGCACATTTCAGCTCAGGATCCAGATCCTTGAGTTAGAACCGTAGGGCCAAATCTACAAAGGCATTTAAGCATGTAAAGGTGCAAACTGGCACCTAGAAGGATTTACCAAAGCACCTAGAGTAGGAGAGATGCCTGACTCCCAAATGAGAGTTAAGTGCCTTTGAAAACACCACTAGGTGCTTATTTGCTCCTTTAGCCATCTAGATACCTTTGTAAATCTGGCCCATCAAAGATTCAGGATGTACTTTTGAAAACAATGAAACAGGAAGAGTAATGCTACACAGGAAACCATAATGATTTTACTGAGTGATTTATGTTAAAGCAGCAAATCATCTGCTATTCATTCAGAGAGTATCAACAATTCAGAGTACAGTTTTAAAATCCCATTCTAAATCAGGCAAAACCCACTAAAATATGAGGAAGACCCCTGAAAATCTCAGTTTTGTTTCACCACACTACACAGTTCTCATGTTCTTAGTCTGCAATCAGGAAATCAGGTAAGCCAACAGAAAAGAGCTTTCTGCTGTTCAGGCTAATGACCATTTCAAGTATTTTGCACCTACAGAGCTCAATTCATACCTTCGACAAGTGCATATTGAGTCCTGACATTATAAAAGTCTGGTGGAAGTACAAACCCAACTCATACTGTAGAGTATTTTCTAAGATGAGACACTTCTTCAAAGGGCAGTGCTAATTTATTTTAAACATTTATTTGAACATCCAGACACAGTTCTCAGGTCTAAATACCATTTCAGTTTAACGTCAGTTGTTTGTACCTTTACTATTACGGATATCTAAAAATTCTGACGAGATTACCTATATTGGAAAAAAGGGGACGGGTAATGTTTTGAAACATTCATGGATATTTCTTCTAGAATACAGGTCTCTCTTATTTAGTGTGGGGGCAGGTCTAGTTGACCATGAAACCATCGTTCTATTACACTGAAATAATCAGAGAATGAAATACTATCCTTTCACCATTAAGCTAGTCTCCTTTTCCTGCTACTATGTATTGTTCATTCTCTGTGAAACAAATTGCTGGCTAGTGGAGATCTCACCCTAGAATTTCATCACTCTGGAAAAGGAATTAAACCGGCAATCTGTAAGGAAAACACTGAATTATCAGTTCAACAAAACAGGGCTAGGTTAGCCACTAAACAAAGACTACAGAACCCATCTGAAAATTATTGTCTTTACCGGGGTAATAACAGGACATGATCTTGAAGTTAGCAGTCTCTCTCTTAGCAAAGAAATTCAAAATAAGTAACTCTCTAGAATACACTCCTCATGAGTTAGTAGCTGAAATAAGTAGGAAACATCTAAATTACAGCATTTGTATCTTAATTTTACTGTAGAAAACTAATTTTTAGAATACAGTGTATATTTTTTACTCCATAGTAACTGCCATTAATACTAACCACTAATTAAATGGAGAGGAATTTTAAAGACCAGCTTTTAAATTGTCGGGAAACATGTAAATCATTTGGTTTAAGTTAGGAAAAAGGCTAGTGGGATTAGAGGGAAAATTATAACTCTGGGATTCTATTCCCTTACTTTCTATAATCTGCCCTATGTAATTTGTGTTTTATGTACCTACTTCCTTCTCTGTAGGTAGGCATAATGAAGTTACTGTGAGTACAACACTGAGATTCCAAGATGAAAGGGGCTACCAACACGCAGACTTAATTTTACGATTATTTTGCAATCATCACATATCTCAGGCCTTATAAAATACACTTGGGGCCACCTACTTCCTGTTAATAGTGGTTGACAGATTTGATACTCTCAATGTATTTTCCACTCACCAGTAAGTTCTCAGGGGGTCTATTTAAAATCAATGTTGCTACTTCAAAGAACACTTTTAACATTTAAACCAGGAAAAAAGACTGGCCTTTATACATAAAATATGTTTTTAAAAAAGCACCTCACTGTACTGGAAAAATCCCAACCCTATTAGAGAGTGTTTTCAGCCACAGAGTAATGGTTGTATTGTTATAAGGTAATTAACATGCAAGGACAGAATATTTTTCACAATTAGTGTTTTTCCCTGCAAGGGGCCTATATGTAGAGATATTTTGTAAACTGAAATTACACAATGAACAAAATATCAAATCTGTTCCATATGGGGGCAAAATCCTCCTAAAATGTCTATCCCATTGGTTTTCTGGGGTATGGGTGTGTGTGTGTGTGTGTGTCACAAATAGATCTGGGGAAGTCACAACAAACTTCCCTTTCTCAATGATCACGTGCTGGGGCGTGGGAAACCAACAGAAGATTTTTGCTATTTTAACATGGGTCCGTGATTACAGTAAAGGTCAAGAAACACTTGTCCGCTGACGGTGACTGCTCATGTACCCTGGGCTACGGGATAGCTAAGTGTTCTCATTCTTGAATACGATCTCTCAAAACAAATCTAGCTTTAGAACAGGAGATTCTCAAGTCAGACATAATCAGTGTGAAATATCATAGTCCCTCATTCCCCTAAAATACTGTAAGAGACTCACACAAGAACTCAAGCTGTTTTTGTGCTGGCCTTATCAATGGAGTCGGAATACCAATTAGATATCACACCTCAGTAAATTTGTGCCCACCACACTGAGAAAACTATGCAGTACCTCCTCACTCCAGGCATGCTTCAAAAATCAATGAGGTACAGGTAGGATCAAAAAGGGGATTCAGAAGGGCACCTAAGGAAAGAAAATCCCACTGAAAGAAACTTGCTTGCTTTTTAAAAATCCTACTCTATATGCTTATTCAACTTTCTCTCATTGAAATCTAAGATGAGATGTCCCCATTGGTTTTATTTTGGGAAATATGGTTGCACATTTAGAATTACAACTCACTTCTTGAAATTATGGGATTTTCTACTATTTATATATCATAGTCCCAAACTACCAGGTATTATTGACACTGTGAAAACAAAAAGGTGATGATGCTTTTCCCACGAATGGGGGAAAATAAACCTATATGAGGCTATCATGATGTAGAACTTATTGAATGCTACATCCATTGCACCTTGTGGGGTCCCAAGAAGATTCTGAAAGAGTGCAACACCTAATTAAGTAGGTTCCACGTGAATTACTAGCTAAATTCTATTGTGGCTTTATAGATACGGTAAAACTGAAATGCAAAAGAGTAACCTGCTATGTTAATTTGCTAACCTGCCCACCACTCAGAGAATCTGGTAGCCTGGTTCACACAACAAATTGGAACCAAACATTAACTGGGAATGTAATGAGGAAAAATTCTGGACTGCAAAGAAAGGCAGTACTTTGGTGGGGGCAGGGAAGGACTGTTATGCAAGATATGTAGAGACAGTTCTCAGTTTATTGACTTTAGAGTCACAAAAGTCAAACAGTCAATATTCACTTCAAGGGAAATATATTTTTATTTTATTTTTTAACCAGCAATAGCTACTAAATGTTTCAGATGTAACTTCCTCCCCGAGTACTGAGGCAGCCTGGGGGGAAAAAAAGGCAATTCTTCATAAATGATCAAACAAAATTTGGCAAGCTAGTTTGAGGTGGAGACTAGTCTGTTGAATCCTACAGTAGCCAAATCTTGTCAATCTATTTCCTCACAAAGATATGGGTGGCGGAGTTTGGAGAGAGACAACAAGTTCAAAACACCTTCTCAGTGGGATGGGAGTAGGGGAAGGTTCCTATCCACTGTTTCCCCCACCAACCTTTATGGTAACTCTGATAAGTTATTAACACTAATTTATCTGTAAATCAAAAAAATCAAATAGGGTTTTATAAAAAGCTGAGAGAACAGATAGAGCTCATTATTGTTCAGGTGTGGTAGTGCCCCGAAGATCCCAATTTGCGATGGTGCCCTCTTGTCCTGGACATGGTGCACCCACATAATAAAAACACCTTTACCCCTATGAGATAAGAGTCTGAAAGACTCCTCTAAAGGGCTGAAACTCTATCATGGGATATAATCTGGTCAGTGTGACTGGACTGCAAACGGCACAGGGTCAGCAGTAGGGATGTCAATGTGTACACGACAACATGATTAAACTGATCAACCTGCACTTATTGGTTAATCCTGTTGACTCCACACACTTCCCCCTTGCAACTACACGCACTCCCTCCTTTTGCTGCCTCTGGTTCAGAGGCAGCGGGGAGGGGGAGAGGGGAAGGTGGGAGCTGGTGTCCGTGGGGAGCCAGTTTTTAAGCCGGCTCCCCACAAGTACTGGATCTGCCTGCCCCATCTCCCCCACTGCCTCTGATAGAGAGTGAGGGGGGCAGGCCGGAGCCAATATGTGCAAGGAGCCAGCTTTTAAGTGGCTTCCCGCATGTGCCAACCCCACAAATCTGCCTGCCCCCACTTGCCCCCCTCCAGGCGAGTGGGGAGGTCTGAGTTCCTGTCCACTGGGGATCCAAGCTCCCCGCGGACAGAGGTTGCTCTGCATCCCATGGAGCAGCCTCTGTCAGCAATGAGCCTGCAGACAGACAAACACTACTCCACGGTAGCAGTCCCTGTCCGCGGGAGGGGGCGGGAGCAGCCTCTATCTATGGGGAGCTTGGATTTGCACGCTACTGTCTCTGCAGTTTTTAAGCCAGCTCCCCTCATGGACGAGCTCCTGCCTGGCACCCCTGCCCTGCTACCTGTAATAGGAGAGGCAGCAGCGCGGGGTGGCAGGTGTGATTGGAGCACACTGGCTGGCGGCTCCACCTCTGGGGACTATCAAATGGTCTCATAACCACTAGATCTTTCGATGTGGTTACATGAATATTCAACTACACGCTAACATCTCTAGTCAGTAGTACTGAAACACTATTCCTCTGTGCATATGTTAGTTTCCTACTTCACTATAGTGTCACACCCACTTAAAATTAATTAGTTCAAGTAACC